CTACAAAACTGGTCAAAGTTTCTACAGCAGTTGCCTCAGCACACTGTGATGGTATTATCAAGGTGAGGTGAGGTAGCATGTTCTAACTAATGCTGGACAAATAAAATAGCTGTACCTGTCTAGAAATTTTTACAAACTTACAAGTGAAGGTTTCTTGTTCCTTATGCATAATTTCTGACAGGAAATTGTTAAATCTTCAGCTTTTATTAGTCATAATTAGTTCTGGAGTTGGGGCAGCTATCAATACAATATTTTACTACTGTCTTGCAGCAGAAGCTACTAAGCCTAGTCTTGGGCCAGAAATAAGTGTATTAGCTATGCTATGAACAGGAAGGTTTCTTTGCTTATTGGCCAAAACTTAGGCTTAAAAAGATCACAAATGTAATCAAAAACCTTAAAAAAAAGTTCATTAGCTTTCTAGTGTTGCAGTTATTAAGACACAGACAGAAGACAAATATTTAATTAACCTGCTATATAGAAATAACTGGTGTGTGGGTGAGCTAAGAGATGGATGATCCTAAGAATCAAAACATATTGCTTAAAACTACTTCACTTGTATCCCTTTTCAGAGGGGCTTTAAAACCATGGAGAATTAATCCTTCCTGGAGTTTCTTCAAGGAAAACAATATGGTCTTGAGTTAAAGAACAGATTGTGTAAATGCATCTGCTTAAATTTAGTCTGCATGTGGTGTGCCTACCTCATTGTAGGTACAGAGGGAATGTTAGAGGCTACAACAAGGACCCCACTCATGCACCTCTTCCTGGAGCATGAGCTCATGAAATGAAAGAAAACAAGCTTTGCTGTGAAGCATCTCCTAATGGTTTCAGCCTTTGATAGGACAATTACACACCACTAAATGTTAGTGTTACGTTGCCTGTTTTTACTCTAGTAGTTTAAAAGTGGCTGAAACAACTTTTTATGTCACGAGTAAGTGAACACAAGACATACTCAGCTGAACAGGCTTTCTGAAGAAGGGTTATCTTCTGGAATGTGTGTTGTATAATCTCAGTCATGGCCCTTCCATAATGGGGATAATGAGTTCAAGTCAGACTTATATTCAGTATGGGAAAATATGGGTATTCAAGGAAAATGGCATAGTCTCCTTCCTGGCCTTCCTACAGAAGGAGGGAGGCAGGTAAAGGAGCAGAAGTGCTAGGATTACTCCAGCTTTTTGGAAGGCAAGAAGAGCAGGACATTTCTGAGGTACCCTGCTTCACAAGGGAGGGGAGCAGAAGTTGGAGGGCTCTGAAAGAAGCAGCATGTAGGCATGTGGGCTTTTTCCATATCCAGTGTCAAAATAGTAACAAAGGTACCTTGCAAACAACAACAGAGAAGCTGGCTAATCACATGGAACACTTGGTCATTGGTTTCCAACCATTTAAGGGTATGGAAATATGACAACTGCAATTTTTGTTTTGACATGCTTTTTTTTTCTCTTACAGTTCCTACAAAGCCAATACCTTACTGGAGTGCTGATGCTACTGACTGAACTAGCAATTTCTCAGATACAGTGAAAGTCATTTCAGCAAATCTTCATGCTAAAAAAGGCTTAATCGTGGAAGACGCATGCTGAGAAACCAATTAGAAACTCACTCCTGCACCATCTTCTTGCCTTTCATGCTGGCTGTCCAGCGTTGGACTCCAATTCCATAACTAGCTGTAATTCAACATCATGCACAGAAAAGGCAAGCAGACATTTTGCCCTAAAGAAAGGCTACAGTACAAACTTTTAATAGCTTCTTGAGCACCTTTGTTTTATAATAGTCACTGTTCATTTATGTGTAGCTATCAGCCAGGGACTAGGAGATAAACTTTGCAAATTCTTGCAAGCAACCTTTCTATGACAGGTATTCGTGTTATTTCAAAGATCAGCTCAGTTTTCACTTAACTAGGTAGCCTTAGCTAAATGGTAACTACTCTTGGGCCAAAGTCAAGCATACCCGAGAAAGGGTGTGTGCTTTACAACCCAGGGCAGGAAAGCCCAGGTTTCTAACTTGCTAAGGCCAGTTGGTAATGGTCAAAGTGTTCATCTATGGCCTGGTTGGGCTAAGGTGAACAGCATGACTGACAACTGCCTTGTCCTAGAGGACCAACCTGCTGGACACACAAGATACTATGTAGAAATTGAGGTCTGTGTATAAGCTAGATATTTACTATGCTTTGTCTGTTGTTTGTTGTCTTGGATTGTAATCTCATAGGCCAGAGAGCTCTCTGGGGTAGAGCTATGGGCACTAAAATTTTATACTAGATCTCTCCCTTCTACAGCAGGTAGGAGTTTAGACAGCTAGTGCACAGTGCCTGGCTATAGCTTAAATGAACAGAAAGGAAGTAGAATTAGTACATGATAAATGTTATTATTTTTGTATTACAGCATTAAATAAAGTATTTACCATCTTTTGCCAATAGATTGGTCTAGATTGGTAAAGACCACCTCTGCCTGATTAAGTATATACTTGTGTGGTACTCATTTCCCACTATAGCTTAACTGACTAAACTACTACCTGTTACCTATTAAATAATTCTGTAAGCAACAAAACTTGAAGTCTAGTTTCCTATACAATTCATTTGTAATGGCTTCACACTTGTGCAGCAGCTCTGTGGTCTGATGAGTTTGTGCTGTGACCTTCCCCTTAAGCAGGGATGCAAGTTTTCCCTCCTTTGCCCAGCCACATAATTTTAGGATTTATTTGCCAGCTGTCAGTAAGAAATTCTTCATTTTTCTTCCCAGCAACATTGAGATGAACTGCCTAATATAATTATATGCTTAGTACCCAATCTACTTTTAATAATCTATTTCCAGGATTAGCCAAAGAAACTTGCACTTGTTTTTAGTTTTTATTTACTAGTTGAAGATGGTTTACTTTTGCATATAAAGGTTGCAGTCTGTATAGTAATAACTGTTACCCTTATAGAAGGGGCTAAACAATCTTCTGAAGGTCTTGACAGCTCAGCAGCTATTTAACTATCAGTTCTGGTGCTTTAGCAAACTTTGTCCAAGATGCTTCATAAAAGGAAACAATCTCAATTCAGAGGAACACAGGGTAAAGCAGGAGTAGAAAGTCTGATGTAGTTGGCACCTGTATTTCATTTGAAAACAGGACTGTTATTTTACACCCACAGCTTAGTTTTAAATGTAATGCTCAGTTCTTTCCAACACATTTGCACAAATGTCTAAAAAACTAAATTTCATATAGCCTCTTTTAACCTCTTCCCTGCCTTGAGAACACAGATTAATGGCATATGAAATTCCAGTGGAGTATGTATATGAACTACAGCCGTACATGACTTTCAAGAATGGTACTTTGCTAAGTATGTATCTACTACAGCCTAGCTGTAAGGTATTGCTGAAATGAAAAGGTACTTCCTTCTCTTTTTTTACATGCTTATCTGCAAATTGGGGTATAGCCCTCTGATAACTGCAGTTAAGTCAACAAAGATAGATTTAGCCAGATAGTTAGTGCAGGTGCTTTCTTCCAGAAAAAGCTGGTTCTGAATGGTGTGCTTCTAAGCAATTGAGGGTAACACCAAACAGCATTTTAAAGTCAGTTTTACTTGGACTGGTATCTGCAGAAAAAAAAAACAACCACCAACACCAGCATCTGTGTCCACACAAACTATACAAAAGTATAGTCCACTGAATTCATCCAAAAGAACAAACAAAGAACAGCATAGAAGAAATTTATTAAGATAGCACTATTTATACAAGTTACTCATGCTAGAAAAAAGCATAAATGATACATGTAAACATTTGTTTACAGAATACTTGTTTTCCTTGTAAAGGTGCAAATGATCTTCATATGTAAACACAAGAATATCAACCTTTAAGGGAAAAGGGGCTTTTAAAAAAGTTTTAATGACCCATTTATTACTGTAGTGTCATTTTTACTATGTTCAAGCACATTAAAATGCTGAGTTACATGAATCAAACTATGAGGTTAAATAACTTAAAAAGTCAGCACTGCCTTTTTCATCTCAAGAGTTTACAGTCCTCTTTTAAAATCAGATTTAGTAAGGTCCAAAGTTGTATCAGGTGCAAAAGGTCATTCTTTCATACTAGATAGAAATTACAGTACAAACATATCAGAACCTTTGAGTCAACTAGAGTTCCTTGTTCCTCTCCCACCACCCCGGGGTGCTTCTGCAGTCACTGAAACGTAGCAGTTACTCACAGTGCCAGCAAACAGTCCCTCCCCTCCAAACTCTTTATGAGCCTCATACCTTTTCCTGCTCTAAACAAACATAGGCAAAGTGCATAAAAACCACTAAAAGGGAAGGTACCATCTCATCATGGGTCAGTGTTTTACAACAGGAATTCTAAGGACACAGACAAGAGGCAGGAGCTGACTGCGGGCCTGTCATTCTAGGAAGAACCTGAGAAGTGAGTGTTGATCTAGGCTAGTCAGAATTAACAGATGATACCTGCATCCTAGCTTCAGACAAGAACTGATATCTAGCAGGCAATGCAAGAAAAAGGACTTTATAAGTAAGCAACAACTAGTTATTTCTAGGTTCCTATACAGGGGAGGGGAGAGACAAAAGCCGAACTTTTGTACCATACACTGTACAGTAAAAAGGCATAATTTGAAATCCTTTTCACTCTCACCCTTTTGGGGCACTTCACTGATTCAGTCGATAGATGAGAGTTCCAGTTCTACTTCTTGCCTCCAGCAAGACTGAGAAGATACTCAGGGCACCCATCCTCATAGCTCTCCTGTACTCTAAGAGACCCTAAAACATGCCACAAGAGTTGGAACCACAATAGCTGGCAGAACACAGCCCTGCCCTAATCACCAGCTTGTCAAAACTCAAATCGCACACGCACATATACATACATATAAAATACATATATATATGTACACATATATATGTATATAAAAAGCTGGAATCATCGCTGTGAGCGATACAAAGAAAATACATGATACAAATTAAATGAAAAAATAAATATACTCTGTGCACAGAAAAGCTTCTGTGCAAAGGTGGCACCTTGCAGGTCAAGTACTTTTTTGAAGCTCTCTGTAAATAAGGCAAAAGCAATGTTTTCTGTATCACTTTCCTCTTTCGCCCACCACACAGCTGCCACATCCACTGCTCACAGCAGGAGGGAAAGCAGGAAACCTTCCTCCTTGCCAGACTCCCAGTATAGCATGTGGTCTCTACATCAGCATTGTTTACGTTACAATAACTTTTACAGTTTGGTTTATTCAAAATGTAGATTATTTAGAAAAAATATGGACATAAGCAACACTTCTACTTTTGTCCAGTGGTTTCCTGGAGTCTGACAATGCGGTCTCCCATTGGGCACACTCTCACAGAAGTCCTTTTTATAATTCCATAGAAAGAGTCACCAGCAAAGAGTTACATTGGATCTAGACCATTCATACTAGAGCTGCAAAGAGGTCCAGTGTCAACAAGTCTCTTCAGTTTTTCTAGGAATGAGAACCAAGGGGTCTCCGTCCCTCTTGATGCTTACCATATATGGGATTCACAGTGTGTCATTTTGATAACACCTACTCCTCCTCCCAGCCGCCGATAGTTCATTCCACCATACAATCTGCAAAAGACAAGGTTTCAACAGTCACGCTGGTCCAGCTCCTTCATGGAGCCACCATGGGGAAGACTGAACCAGCCCTTGTGAGCACAATTACACCATAGTTAGCCTCTAGTTAAAGCAGACCATGGCATGTAAGAAGTTGCGTAGCAGTCATCTTCATATTTCCAAGATAAACAGCTGTATTCTCTTTCAAAACAGAAACTGCTGCTTGTTTTGACACTGCAGTTTTCTGTTACTCAAGTAATCACTTGCTTTGTCTCTGTCTGGTAACATGCAAGATAGAAAAGAACTTCGTAGGCTGTATCTGACTTTGGGCAACACAGGAGCAAGGATAGGTTTACTTCTCACAATTCAACTAATTTCTAATACTCTAAATTCAGCTGACCCAACCAAGATACAACACATCCCAAGCACCATCTGTTTCTCCAAAATATGTTACTGAAATGGTGCCTGCATTTCATATGGAAATCTGATTCCTATACACTCCAGCATCCTACTCACTTCGGCTGCATATTCCCCTCTGTGCCACTGAAGTCTGCTGACAGAAACAGGAGAAGCAGGTTCTTCAAACAGCTCCTACCAATGCAATTTGTTAAACCTGAATTGCGTCTGAAGCATTTCTCAGTCACAAGTAAAGTGTGGCTCAGTCAGGCTACACAAGTAAAAAATATCCTTCACAGAGCAAAAAGTTCAGGAAAACCAAAGAAAGGTAAGACCAGAGATGTTGATCAGCTATACTGAAAATCCAGTGGGAGAAAAAAAACCCACAAGCTAACACCATGAACAACCTCCTAAACTTCCGTGAAGTTTCCTTCTGCCCAGGCAGTAACTAACTCTAGACATCTTATTATTGTTACTGTCACTCAAAGTAGCTGAAACCATTCAGCAAAGGAATATGGAGTACATGTTACTCTCTACTCAACTGGTTTTCTCACCAGTTCAAAAGGCATTGTCCATAGCTCAAAAAACAAGGGGATATTCCTCCACTG